TTCTAATCGCGAGCCGATTATGTTTCATTTAGTGAGTCGTATTTACCATGATTTGTGTTTTTCTATCATTTCAAAATGTCATTTTATTATTCCTTTGTCACAATTATTAAATTAGTTTGTTAGTGGCACAGTACAGTAGACTATGTGTGTGTGTCAAACATTTGGGTGAATTACATTTGTTTGGGCTGGCTATATATTTGAACGAAAGAGAAACTGTTGACTTTAGCGATGACAAAGCTTTATTTAAACGTTAGAAGATGCTGTCTGACAACGAGGAGAAAATGCCTCACAGCAGTTGTTTTCCATCCAATTAGATCACATTTTTTCAAATGATCTGTCCAGGTGGTGGTGCTGACAACAATAGTAGTTCCAAGATGATAAAAGCAGGTAAAATAGATTAAAACTATCGTTTCAAAGCTCTCCAAATGTGACTGTTTATACGCATCAAATGCCGACCGGAAGTTCCTAGCATTCTCAATGCACATACACCATACCTGTCAACCGTCCCGTTTTTCCGGGGATTTCCCCATATTTTACAGTTCTATCCTGCTATCATCCCGTAAAGGTATTTTCCCGTATTTCTCCCGTATTTTCAGTCTTTCTCTAAAGGGTGGCAAATAAACATTAAAGAGTCGAGCCTGCCTTTACACAACCCATACAGCCGAACCACCAGGGGTCACCCTTTGCTTTTGAATGCGAGTCTGTGCTTTCGCTTTGTTTAGGCGTGAAAACACTTTGAAATAAACATAAAAACAGCGCGAGTCATATAGCGCTACATGACTGTCAGCTGACGAGCTATATAGTGATAAATAGACGCTGTTTCCCAAACGGATTCTGCACTCGTGATTTGAAGCGGAGCGACTGTCTGGGTTTTGGGCAAGTGTGCCGCAAGCCTGCGTTTGAGTGAAGGTCTCGGCCGTTAGATCGCCCCCTGGGGGCTGGCTGCAGTACAAGTCATAAAGCCCACCTCCTCCGTGTTAATGAAGGAGACTTGAGCCCAAATAACAAAATTATTACACTTGCAATAAAATGTCCCGAAAGATGGTTCTGGTCGATTAAGGCACTGGTTATTGTGCTGAAATAGGTGCAGATCTTCATTTTTGTAAACAGTTTGTTTTTAGCAGTAATTTAATGCTGGGCGTGTCATCGTGATTGACAGCTGTGATTGACAGTTTCTCAAAGCAGCGCGTCTGAGCTTCGGCAGGAGACTGAAGTGTTATTATTCGATTTCTGTGTTTTTTTACCATGACAAAATGAGTTCAGCAGTAAACTACAGTTTCTGACATACATGATCCTGGTGGAACACTGTTTATTCGCTAAGTTCAGGGCTTTTTTCGGGCTTTATTAGTTTGCTGATACACGCCTAACCACCCAGATAGCAAGACACAGTTCCGGCTAGATTCTCGCCTGCCGGAGACTTATCCCTTAGAGCTCAGACTGACTACCTCTGCTGGACCTACTCCGGATGCCTGGACTCACTACCCGATTCCAGCCCGAGTCAATCGAGCCAGATGCTGCGGCCGAGCGAGCCGGCGCTGCCGCATGCGAGGCGGAATCAGCCCGCGACGCCGCGAGTAGGTTATGCGCTGCGGTCCGGAGCTGGCGCGATTGAATATATAAAACCCTCATATTTGTTAACTTTATTACATCCATTTGTGTTGATATGACAGCAAACGCATGCTGAGAAGTTCGGGGGGCGTGGTTGATTTTACATAAAGCGTTTGGTTGGAAGCTCGACTCCGCTCATTTTCGCGGCTCCTCCTCTGGCTCCATCAGACAGTCCTTCTGCGCATGTCAAGGCTCCAATTTCAGCAATCTTTTGCGACAGTTTGTGCCCGTCAAGCAGGCGTTTTGCCCTCAAGGCGTTCAATGGGAAAAAGGGCTGTCGCGTCGTCCATATTTTTTACAGTCATTGGTTTTGGGTGCTTGTTTAAACAGACATATAAACGTAACTGATAATAGCATCTAAAGATGTTGATCTTGGTGAGTTTTTTTCAAACACAAGTAATTTCGTCCTAAATGAGAATAAAAAGTTAGGAAAGCAATCAAATAATTTCATTATAACCTTAGATGTGTGCATTTTTAAAGTGACACCTGTTATTTAATGTAAACAAACTAAAAAATCTAAATAAATAAGAGATTCATTCATTGCTCTTTAATCAGAATGTGTCAGTTATACAGTAAACTTATTATAGTTATACTTAGTATAACTTGATTCTATTTCATTATAATTGCTATTAATTTTAATAAGCTGAGCTGTTTGCTAATGTATTTGTTCCTAATGTGTATATATATTTTTTATTTTGTAAATAATAATAAAACATATTACTGACCATTTAACTGTTTATTTACAACAAAACAGCTCCAAATAAACATATTTAGTAATTTGGGGATTTTTTGAAAGGTGGGGTTGGTGGAATCCCTTATTATGGTGGGCATATCCCTTATTTTCACATCCCAATGTTAACAGGTATGGCATACACGCAAGCATAATGGGTAATTTTGCGTTTTAAGAAAAAGGTTGAAATATTCATATATATTAAGCTTTTTTTTTTTTTTAAATAGAACAGAAAAAGTTGCCAAGCTGTATAGAAATGCTCTGTATGGCCATTAATGGTATATCTAATTGTCTCTATTTGAATGAACTGCAACAAGTCATACATCCAATGAAAGTAGTTGGGAGGAGAAGGGTTTTTCCAGTTCAGTAGTATAATTCTTTTGGCAATTATTAAGCAAAAGGCTTATACATTTGACTGCGAAGAACACATCGATAAATTTGTAGGACTTGTATCCACTAAAGGACACAGTCCAATTTTTAGAAGAAAAATATCAGATTAATTTAAAGATTGATGTATAAAAAGAGTATAACTCTGAGCAAAGCCAGAAGGTATGGAAAAAGGTAGCTGGAGCTTGTCGGCATCTGTCTAATTTTATTTTAAACAAAGATAAAGAATCTGACATTATGTTAAATGAGAAAATTGTCTTATATATGTTGGAAACTCTAACTCAAACCCTTGGAAACTTTTATGTCCAAGATTTGATGAATCTCTTGTTTAAGAGGTTGATGAGGGAAGTTTGAAAATGTATTTCTTATAAATTCTCGAGTCTGCAAATACTTTTGTGAAGTGAGTTTTTGGGAGCCTGAATTTTTCTTAGAAATATGGAAAAGGTTACAAAAGTGTTCTCGTGAAAGAGAGCATTAGTATTTACATTACCTATTCTAAACCATAATGCAAATGCTCCATCTGATATAGAAGGATTTTTATATATAGGAGACAAACGAGACATTGCCTGAAAACCGAAATGTTTTTTTATTGTTTACAAATTCTTAGACTATGTAAGACTAGGGGATTAAAAGAAAAACAAGAATATTAAATATTTAGGGCCCTATCATACACCCGGCGCAGTGTGGCGCAAGGCGTGGCGCAGTAATCTTTTGGTAGTTTCAGCTTGGTGCAGGAGTCGTTTTGAGGCGTTGCGCTACGCTGTTTAAATAGCAAATGCATTAGCGCTCATTTTTGCGCTCATAGGCGTTCTGGTCTAAAAAGGAAGGCGTTCTGAGGCGGACCGCTGGCGCGTTGCTATTTTGAGAATCTATAATAGATTTTTCATTAGACCAAAACTAACCCGGTCTAAACTCCGACGCAAAGTTGCGCCTCGCTTACACACTGCTTAATACGCACAAGAGAGCAATAGGCAAATATCTTTACATATGAAAAATGTAAATATTAAGGATATATATATTATATAATAAGAATAGATATAGAATATAAATATAAAGGATTAAAATATTACAAAACATATTATTTTCTAGCCTACATAAATATGAAAAATCACTGCTTTTATGTCTTCTTCATCTCGGGAGGCTTTTTCGGTTCATTCATAACAATTTGCTTTTGTATAATGTTATTATTATTAGCAGTATTATTTATTATATACATATTTATATTTGTTTTATTAAAAACAAGCTTAGATTTGCCCACCTGTCAGGTTTTAGAACATATGGGGCAAAGCATGTGTTTTAGGATATAACTCAGGTTCTTGAGCACATTTTGCTATTATTATTCATTTATTCGTTTGCCGGAAATTAGAACTGAATTTAGAAATAGTTTTGAAATGAATATTTGCGCTTAACAAACAAAAGTATTTATTTATAGACTGATTGATGTCTGTGTGTAAAGATTTCCCTATCCAAGAGTGAAAGTGAAAGTAGTTCCATTATCTCTCATTCTCACGCAGTAGATGCTCTGTTTAACAGTTTTCTGTTAAAAAACTGTTAACTGTTTGCTTGTGAAATGCTCATTTTTTCCACTTAGACTTACTTTGTATAACAATATATGGTTTATATAGGTTTTTCGTCTTAAAATTGTCCTAATAATAAAGTATATGATAATGCCTTCATCACTGCTTAGAATAATATGGATCCAGATGGTCAGACTTTTATTGTAGATTACCAAAACAAACATTTCTTTTAGAGGATAATCTTGCACAGATCTGTTATTTACTTTATAGAACAACAATATGGGTTAGCAAAATAAACATGGTTAATTTTAAATTCACCCAGACTTCAAATGTTGAATCTTGACATTTTTTCAGATGTACAGTGCTATAGTCCGCTCTGAAGCTACGCAAAATGGCTGTTGTTATTGCAGAATGATTACCTTTGATTTTGTTGTATGTGATTTATTGTGTAGCTTGTAGATGAACTATGACTCTGTGTAGTAAATGCTGCTCCGTCCCATGTAAAAGCACATGCTGAAGATTGACGACTGCTACAGCACCGGCTTTACTGACAAAATGCACATGAAATTTGCCTTCTATTAATCGCCCAGCTCTATTTATTGCTATGGCCAAAGCTATTTCAGCTTTTGTGAATACTTGTCAAGTCAAACTAATATAGAAGGAGAAAAAAAAAATCCATCCGCCAGTCGGAGGGAGAGGCGGAAGGACATGCAGTAGTTCGGCATTCACGTAAGGAAAAAGGAAACTGAAATCTAACCAGAACAGAATCTCCGCCAAAACGAAACCTCCGCCAAAGCCGAATCTCCGCCAAAATTGAGAAAGAAAGTGCACAACAGTTAAAAAACCATCATCAAGTCCCGGAGTGGCAGCCGGTGAGAACTTTACTTTGGTTATTGCATGAAAATCGTGACTGTCATGTCAGTATTTGAGGGCAAATCAACCGTGAAGCAGCATCTGAGTTCAAGTTCGGCACAGAGGAAAAAGTTGCTCCTTTAGTGCTTATCTGCCCGCTGCTTAATTATTTCAAGATACAAATAGTTATTTGCAAACTAGAAGATGTTATGAAGCAGAAATGTATAGTTTTGGTTATTTTAATCATCATTTGAGTGTTGTCTGACTGACGTTAAGATGTTAATTTTCCTCCGTGATTCATATGCATGCATGAGCAGATCACGTGCACATAAGCTGATTGCTGCAGTAGCAAAATTAATCGCATTTCATTTATGTGTCTTAAAACTAAATATTTAAGTTCAGTATATTAAACTGTACTGTTGATTGTGCTTTAACAAGTGATAATTCAGTATAATACTTGAAAATACTGTATGGAAAATCAGACAAAATTCACAAATGTTTGTATATATATATATGTTTATTTGCAATTTAATTACATATCTTGTATTTTTGTTTATTTTAAAGGTTTTTCACCTTTCAACTTTCTACTTTCAACTTTCCACCGTTATACTTTTTACCTGCCTTTCTGCTGCATTTATGATGCAATAAATGGATGAGTGGAATCCAGTTAAAACTCCCTTGATGATGCGTCTTCCTTTCAAGCGGGAAAACTTGTGCATAAGAGAATAGCTTGACAGTGAAAAACCGGGACCAGTGAAAAACTGGACAGTGAAAAAACGGGAAACCAGGAAAACTGGAAACCTGTTTGACTCAAAAAAGGCAAGTGAGAAGATAATACATTCAATTTGAAGAATAACTGTGAAGAATGGCCACGCAGGCGGTAGGAAAGTCACTCGAACAACTAAAAGCAAAAAGGACAGTGGAAAAAAGGGCATTCACACGTCTAGCCAACAATATATTCAAAACTTGTAAAAACATGACAGAGATGGATCTTCAAGACAGTTTAAATAAACTCACAATACAAGCAGAGAAAGTCATGGAAGTAAATGATGATCTTGAAGCAGGCATGATTGCAGAAATAGAGGCAAATCTGGATACAGACCAGTCAGCTGAATTAACAGAACAGCAAAAAGACGACCTCGAGAAGACTGCAAGCGACTGTGAGTTAAAACTGGATGAAGTGAAAATTCTTCTTCATGAAACGTTATGGACTAGATATGGGGATGTTGAACTGTCCACGGCACTGCAGGTTGCTGAAGCTGAGAGTGATAGAGTCGAAGCAGTAGATCCAACTGGAAATCATGAAGCATACGATTTCATGCTTAGTCACCTTCAAAATCTGATAAAAAATGCAAAGGAGATGTACAGCAAATGGCAACGGTGCATCCCATCAGGTGATGAGAGAGATTTCAGCCAGAGACAAAGAGGACTCGAAGCAAACATTACCAGGTTAGTGGCAAGGAAAGCTGATTTCATGCAAGCAAGACAAGCTGAGGAGGCTAGGAATATAGCACATGTCCCAGTGATTTCTACTTACCCCATAGCAACAATCAAGTTGAAACCTGCAACACTACCAAAGTTCTCTGGTAGCAAGAGAGATTTTCACAGATGGAAGAAGGATTGGGAGGCACTCCAAAAGCAGGGTGAGCCCACTGGCTCTAAGGAGGTAAAAAAGGTTCAGTTACTAGACAGTCTGGAAGAAAAGATTGTAAGAGAACTCCGCCTTACCACTTATAATTCTGCTAATGACATTTTCCGTGTCTTGGAAAATCGCTATGGCAACAAGACAGCAATTGCTATCGAAATAGTGGAAGACTTGCAAAAAATTCCTCCCATTAGAAGTCACCAACCACGAAAAATAGTTGAACTAATTCAAGAAGTAGAAAAGGCACTTGGAGATTTGAGTGATCTTGGAAATACTGGCGCCATAAACAACCCACTGGTAACAAAGTCGATAGAAGGAAAACTTCCTGAAAGTTTAAAAAAGGAATGGCTTATTCACGTATCTGCCCAACAGAGTGCAGTCACACCAGATAATCGATTTGACTACCTTTTGGATTTCCTCAAAAAGCAAGAGAACATCTACGAGCAATTGGAACAATTAAGACTTGAAGAACCTAACAGAAAGGATGTGCGAAATGAACCAAAATGGGCAAAAACAAAGTCTACAAAATCAAACACTGACCAGGCTGGTTGTGTAGTCTGTGGTGATGCTAAGCATAAATGGAAACTCTACTTCTGTAAGCAGTTCCGGGCATCGAAATTAGTAGATAAAAAGGCTGCAGTAAGTGCACTCGGAGCTTGTAAAAAATGTCTTGAGGTCCATGAACAGCATTCATTCTGCAAACGAAACTACTTGTGCAAAAGCCAAGACTGTGAAGATGAGGGTGTCCCTGAGCATCACTACTATTTATGCCCTAATGCTAAAAGAGAGGAGAAACGTGCTGACCAGAAAAAGAGCAAACTTTGTCCGAAAACGGAGAAATGTGTAAAAGACTACACTAGAGATCAGCAAGATTTTCTCAGCAGACTTTCACCAGAATTAGCACAGCAGTGTAGAAATGTGTTCTCAAACACTACAGCAAGAGTGTTCAATGTGACAAAGGAAAAGCCAGGTTTACTAGCACAAAGTGGACTGCTAGAATTGCCTGTAATCATGATGCTTCTAAATGTGACAGCCAATGCTGGTCAAAAGATTGGGACATTAATTGATTTGGCATCAGACACTAATTACATAACGCACAGCGCTGCTGATCGTCTGAACCTAAAAGGAGAAAAGATAACTCTTGTAATCCATGGAGTTGGAGGCATGAAGGTTCGGATGAAGACTAAACGTTATCTTCTGAAAATAAGGGTGAGAACCTCCCAGGGAACCTTCAAGTCCCACCAATTGGCGTGCTATGGGTTGGAAAGCATCGCTGAAATTAATAACACAGTGCAACCAAACCAACTGAAAAAATTGTTTCCAGACATACCTCTTGCCGAACTTGCAAGGCCAAAAGTAGTCGACCTGCTTATAAGCCATCGGGAAGGACAGTTGGCTCCACAGAGGATCAGAATTGTTGGAGACCTGGTATTGTGGGATGGTCCACTTGGAAAGACGATTGGAGGAACTCATCCTGAGCTTTTCGAAGATGTGACTGTATCTGCCTACCGGTCCAAGACTCATTTTGCACGATCAATGAGATTGGCTGCTGTTAAATATGAGTAAGTAACTGAATACAGTCCACCAAACAAACCACTAGCCAGACTCCATGAATCAAGCGTCTCAACCAGTACTCGAGACTTTCTTGAATGGTGGAAGTGGGATTCCATTGGTGCAGCATGTGAGCCAAAGTGTGGGGGTTGTCGCTGCGGGAATTGTCAGCCTGGTGGAAAAGAAATGTCTCTTGCTGAGGAGAGGGAGCTGGAGTTAGTAAAAGAAGGTCTCACTTATGTCATGGAGGACAAACACAGCAATGAGCCACATTGGCATGCTAAATATCCTTGGATACAGGACCCAACTTCCTTACCAGACAACAGGCGTGCAGTTGAGGCTACATTTCTGCGTACAGAGAAGCAGTTGGCCAAAGATCCTCAGTGGAAAACAGCTTATAGTGCCCAAGTGAAAGACATGCTTGACAGAGGGGCTGCAGTTAAGCTACCTGAAAGTTCAATTGCTAATTGGGCTGGACCTGTATGGTACGTGAGTCATCTCATCGCTCCAAACCCTCACTCAGTCACAACCCCAGTGAGACTCGTTTGGAATAGCAGCCAAAGATTTAGAGATGTCAGCATGAATGACCTGTTAATTAAAGGACCAGACGTTCTAAACCAGATACGTGCTGTTCTGCTGAGATTCAGAAGTGGAGTGTATGCTGCATTGGGGGATATTAAGAAAATGTACAACTCCGTTTGGTTGGAGGACCAAGAAGTACATTTGCACAGATTCCTTTGGCGAGACACTGAGAATGAGGAGCTTGGAGAATACGCAATCACAAGAGTCAATATTGGAGACAAACCAGCAGGGTGCATTGCGCAACTGGCAATGCGTGAAACTGCTAATTTGCCATCCTTTGCTCACCTTGAAGAGGAACGACGGGTAATCCAACATGACAGCTATGTTGATGATATTCTTACATCTCACAATGACCTTGACCAGCTACAGTCCATTGTGGCAAACACAGAGTTGATCTTGAAAGCTGGAGGATTTCATCTGAAACCATGGGTCTTCTCAGGTCAAAGTGGGAGGGAAAAGTCTGATGATAAGTGCTGTAAGATAAAGGAAAAGGTTATGGTTCTGCCAAACCAATTGCTTGATGATGACAACAAAGCACTTGGCCTAGGCTATTCTGTGGAAGACGACAAGTTGTATGTGATGACATCCATCAATTTTTCAAAAAGAAAAAAGAAAATTAGACTGGGAAAAAACCTAACACAGGAGCAAGTTAGAGCCCAAACACCAAATCCACTGACAAGAAGAGAGCTCTTGAGTCAGGTATCAGGGGTATATGATCCAGTAGGCTTAGTGACTCCAGCCAAACAAAAGGGAGCAATTCTGGTTCGCAGAGCTTTTCAAGAAGCAAAGAATACAAGACTTCAAGTCAATGAAACTTGGGATGTTGCTCTCTCAGATGACCTTAGAGAAGATGCTATCAAACTCTTTGAGGAATACATCCAACTAGGCCAAATTAAATTCACAAGAGCCATAACACCTCCAGAATTTGAAGGACACCCCTGGGCGATAACCTTTTCTGACGGAAGTGAAAACACTTATGGTGCTGTAATGTACTTGAGATGGGACTCAAAACAGGGCCCAGTAATCAGGCTTGTGGAGTCCAAAGCTAAGCTGACTCCTTTAGACCAAAAAGGAGATGCTATCAAGGCAGAGGTGTGCGGAGCTGTGTTCGCCTCACGTTTGCGAAAGTACTTTGAGCAGCACAGCCGAATTCAAGTGGAGAGGTGGTTCCATTTAGTTGATAGCCAAACAGTACTTGGTGCTATACAACGTGAAAGCTATGGCTACAAAACATTCTTCGCCAATCGGATCGGGGAGATACAAGGAATCACAAAAGCGCAAGAGTGGTGGTGGATACCAGGCCCACAAAACATTGCTGATGTGATAACTAGAGGAGCTAGCCCTCAAAATCTCGATGAAAGTTCAGAGTGGCAAAATGGGCCAAGATTCCTGAGCTTACCAGTAGATGAATGGCCAATCAAGTCAGCTAAAGACTTAGCTATCACTGCCCGAGAAAGCATTAACAAACTTCAAAAGAAAGCGTTTGCAGCTGTATTGACAAGGTCAAAAACAAAGCAAATGGAGCCGACTATGGAGTCGAAACCAATTGAGAGCCCCAACCTAGTTCGAGCGGAACAAAAAAGACCACCAGCAGGCTTAGCTGTCCTGAACTTGTGTGACATAAAGCGGTTCAGTGACCTGTCACGACTGGTTAAAACAATAGCATGGGTTTGGAGAGCTGCAAAGAAGTTTCTCGGCAAAAAACGGACTGTAAATAAACCAAAGTGGGAGGCAGTCTTGTCATTAGGAACCATTTCAGTAAGAGAAAGAGAAGATGCTCTACGAGATATTTTTCTTGCTGAGCAGGATGGGGTGACCTTTCCAAACACCACTAAAGAGAGGTTAGTTGTCTTTAAAGATCCAGACTCTGGATTGTTGGTCTGCGGTGGCAGGGTGCAGGTCTTTCAAGATGATCAGCTGAGTGTTCCAATTCTTCCTTCCAATTCATGGATTTCCACATTACTAGCTCAAGAATCTCACAAGGAGAGCCACGGAGGCTTGGCTGAGACTCTGCTTAGAATGCGAAGGAGAGCCTGGGTATTAAAAGGCAGAAGAATAGCACAAAAAGTTGTGGACAGCTGTGTACAATGTAGGAAGAACAAAGCAAAAAAGTGTCAGCAAGTAATGGGTGATCTTCCTTTAGAAAGAACCCAACCAGCTGCACCTTTCGAGTTCACAGCATTGGATCTTTTCGGACCTTACCATGTGAAAGATGATGTCAAGAAAAGAGTCTTGCTGAAGGTCTGGGGTGTTGTTTTTTGTTGTATGTCGAGCAGGGCAATCCATACAGAACTGGTTAACTCTCAGTCAACCGAAGGTTTCTTACTGGCCTTTCAAAGATTTGCTGCAATTAGAGGCTATCCCAGAAAGATTTTTTCAGATCCTGGTACCAATTTCATTGGAGCAAGACAAGTTTTGCAAGATCTGTACCAATTCCTGGAGGGAATTGACAAATCTACCCTGGAGGAAACAGCAGTAAAACATGGAACTGAGTGGATCTGGAAGATTCACCCAGCTGATTCCCCACATAGAAATGGAGCTGCTGAAGCTGCAGTGCGCATTATCAAGAGGGCACTCCAAAACTGCGGAGGGGAGTCCACCCTCACATACAGTGAAATGAATACAGCCCTTCAAATAGCAGCTAATCTTGCTATTGAGCGACCAATCGATGCCAGGGCACAAAATCAGGAAGGCTGCATTCAATATGTAACGCCAAATTCGCTATTGCTCGGACGAGCGTCTCAAAGTTTTGACATTAAAACTTTTGACTTTTTCAGCTATCCCTTCAAAAGACTCCAAGCAATGCAGTCATTGGTAAATAAGTTTTGGGAACGTTGGAGCCAGCTTGCAGGTCCTAATTTGTTCATAAGGAGCAAGTGGCACACCACACACAGGAATGTCGCAATTGGGGATATTGTCTGGATCGCAGATCAGAATGCACTCAGAGGACAATTCAAGCTTGGCAGAGTAATCAGTGTCAATCCAGACAGTAAAGGTGTCGTAAGAGATGTAAATATAAGAACATTCCCAAGTTACCCTGTTCTGATCACAAAACCATCTAAAGCAAGGGCAAATTCTTCGGAGTCCAAAATCGGTCGAGAGAAGATCCCGAGTACTGTCCTTCACAGAGATGTCAGACGGCTAGTTGTTCTACTTCCTGCAGAGGAACAAAAGAGTAAATAATTCAGAGAACATCCTTTTGAAAGCTAAAAGTAATCGAACTAAACAGTTTGCCTTCAAAGAGATGCGATTTCCTCTTTATCCCAAGAAAATCGAGTGGGAGGTGTCAAGTCAAACTAATATAGAAGGAGAAAAAAAAAATCCATCCGCCAGTCGGAGGGAGAGGCGGAAGGACATGCAGTAGTTCGGCATTCACGTAAGGAAAAAGGAAACTGAAACCTAACCAGAACAGAATCTCCGCCAAAACGAAACCTCCGCCAAAGCCGAATCTCCGCCAAAATTGAGAAAGAAAGTGCACAACAGTTAAAAAACCATCATCAAGTCCCGGAGTGGCAGCCGGTGAGAACTTTACTTTGGTTATTGCATGAAAATCGTGACTGTCATGTCAGTATTTGAGGGCAAATCAACCGTGAAGCAGCATCTGAGTTCAAGTTCGGCACAGAGGAAAAAGTTGCTCCTTTAGTGCTTATCTGCCCGCTGCTTAATTATTTCAAGATACAAATAGTTATTTGCAAACTAGAAGATGTTATGAAGCAGAAATGTATAGTTTTGGTTATTTTAATCATCATTTGAGTGTTGTCTGACTGACGTTAAGATGTTAATTTTCCTCCGTGATTCATATGCATGCATGAGCAGATCACGTGCACATAAGCTGATTGCTGCAGTAGCAAAATTAATCGCATTTCATTTATGTGTCTTAAAACTAAATATTTAAGTTCAGTATATTAAACTGTACTGTTGATTGTGCTTTAACAAGTGATAATTCAGTATAATACTTGAAAATACTGTATGGAAAATCAGACAAAATTCACAAATGTTTGTATATATATATATGTTTATTTGCAATTTAATTACATATCTTGTATTTTTGTTTATTTTAAAGGTTTTTCACCTTTCAACTTTCTACTTTCAACTTTCCACCGTTATACTTTTTACCTGCCTTTCTGCTGCATTTATGATGCAATAAATGGATGAGTGGAATCCAGTTAAAACTCCCTTGATGATGCGTCTTCCTTTCAAGCGGGAAAACTTGTGCATAAGAGAATAGCTTGACAATACTTCCTTGTCTCATGTAACTGTGGTGTCTCTGAAAGTGTAATAAGAATCATGCTGGCTTCGCCTGGGGTGTCTGAGGAAGGAACTTTAACACAAATAGAGGCTCGAACAATGTAAACATTGAAAATGGTCAAATAAATGCCTGAAAGAGCTCAAGACATAAAGGATCACTTTGGGCATCTCTGGTTATTTTAAATCGTCCATGCCCGGCAGCGTCTCATCCCATTTAATGTTCTTATTTAATAATATCCCTCTTCATCTTTTTTCAATGTTTACACGTCATTTCTTGCCACATTGCTTCAAGGGAAGCTGAAGATCAGTGGGTTTCATTTTCCCCACTCTGTCAGAAGTGTTATATCAAACTGTTCCTTACGGACAAGTCTGTTCCTAAATAATTCCAATTTCAAACAACCCTAATAAACAAAATACCATGAATTACCATTATTAGTTGGAAGAAGTGGTCATTTGTCTACGAAGAGTTTTAGCGATAAATCAAAAGTGAACCTATTTACTTTGTTCTGTCGCATTTATTAGAGCACACTTAGTGTTTTAAAGAAATAATACATATTTTTGTATATATTAGATACATTTATAAGAGTTGAATTTTCTAATCTTACAGCAAAATATATATTTTTTTAAAACAAAATTTTTTACTTGTCTATAAAATGCTTTTTGAAGAGTGTATTTGGGGTCTTAAAAAGTCTTCAATTCAAAAACATAATTTTAGGCCTTAAAGTTTGAATTATGTTGTAGGTCTTAAATCATTTTAAACGAGTCTTAATTTTCCCATGTCTGTGTAAAGCTACTAGTTGGGCAAACACCCACCCAATCACCAGCAATCCATCTTAACTAAACTTTTAAAGAGTCCTTATTATGGGTTTTTGAAAATGAGCTTTTATGCAGTGTGTAACACAGCTCTAAGTGAATGAAAACATCCAGCTGAGGATTACATCGGAAAGTTCACCCAGGTTAAACCTATTGATCCTTTAATTATATATTGACTAAGAGTCGAATAAATGAATCTTGTTGGGTTCGTTTTTTTGTTTTTTTGTTTTGGTTTCAACTCGTCAACGTCAATACAGTGCAATCACCAAATATAAAGTGCCGGATGTACCGCAAAGAGACCTCTATCTCACTCATGGCTTGTCCTCTCAAGTGGGGGAAAGACAATGCACAACGTTACCCACTGCTGTCAACCTGGGCCAAGTCATATCTCTGTCCCAGAAACCTCAGTCCCAAATGAGAGGGTTTTTTCTGTTGCAGGGGACATTGTAAATGCCCAGAGATACCAGCTTTTACCAGATTATATTTATATGATAATTTTCCTTAAAACCCATCTCTATCTAAGTGAGTGAGTGAGTTATTAAATGTTTAATGTGATGAGTTTTCAACAATACTAAATTGAAACTTTATTTTTTTACATGGTTTAATAATTTTTTGTTATTAAAATTTAAAAATTGAAGTTCCTGTTTTAAAGCTTACAGATAGATGGGTAATTTGTATCTCATTGACACTTTTGGCCCTTTTTTGTAGTATTTTCATTAGTTTTGTTTTTCCTGTAAATGATTCCATAAATACCGTACCGTGCTATTCATACCGAGGTATTACCGTACTGTGAAATTCTGATATTGTTACATCCCTAGTATATATATATATATATATATATGGGGGCCCCCACAACTTTGCTTCATTGTCTGCTGTTATATACCTGATTTGTTTTAGAAACTGGTCCGTGAAAATGAAACGAAATTAACGTTCTTCTTCAGACTTAGGAAAACTGAGGTTATTACAACGATATATATATATATATATATATATATATATATATATATATATATATATATATACATACACACACACACACACACACACACACACACACACATATGTATATATAAAAAGTAACAACGATATATATATATATATATATATATATATATATATATATATATATATATATATATATCGTTGTAATTTTCCCCCTCAGTTTTTCTATGTCTGAAGAAGAACGTTAATTTCGTTTCATTTTCGCGGTCCAGTTTCTAAAACAAATCAGTTATATTGACCTTATTCTAAAATGCGGAAGTGCGCCTGTTTTCGCAATTGTCTTAGAACTTCCGATTCAGTAGCCTATGGGAGAAATGACTAGGAATAATAAACGGCAGAAAACAGTCAAACTACTTGCTCTACAAACAAATGTTTGCATGACTACACAGACCAAGTAGAATAATATAACAAGGAATTGTCAAATTGCAACATCAAGCAGCGTAATGAGCAGTTTGTAATGTCTAAAAATGAATGGAAGTGAATGAGACCGGAAGTCTCGAGCCAAAAAGATTCAAATGGCAGCGCCCACTCATCGGCGGAGAATAAGGTCAATAACAGCAGACAATAAAGCAAAGTTGTGGGGGCCCCCTAGTGGCGGCGGGGCCCTAAGCAGCCGCTTAGTTCGTTTATAAAGAGGGCTGGCTATGGTTGTCATACTACTAATAATAAAATGTATATTTTCAATAAATTTTTAAATAAATATTCTATCCTACTTGTAATATTTTATCCACATAATTTCTTATAATTTAGTTACTACTATAGCAACACTGCACTCAGTGCTTTGCAAAACCAGAAATATGCACCAAATAAAGCTGCAGACACTTTCCTGTATAAAAATCCTTTAGCTGTAACTAAATTTATAGTGCAGCTTCACTTATCTTTCAGTATCTTATTTTATATTATAATATTGTTGGAAGGAGATAGAAATGAACTGGGAACTGAGAAAAGGGAAGTAACGAAAAAAGACCTTGAGCCAGGAATCGAACTCAGGTCTCTGTGAGCTCCCAATTGACAACATTCACATTTTCAAAATGCCATCTCCTGCTTCTATCAGATTGTCTTTATTTATTTACTAAAGTTATTTAGTTATTTAGAAATCTAAGAGATTTAGGTTGTGAGAACAAAATGAAATACCACGTTTCCCTGGCACCGCTCACACTCGAGATCAAATCAGCAATGATAAGGAAGTTAAGAGCGATTGTGAAACAATGCAAGTTTCTTCCACAACCATCCTGCAGCATGTTGTACTTCTTTACAACCAAGTAGCCAAATAACAAACGAACAGTGGCGGAAGACCAATATCACGACCCTAACAATCAAAGCAAGTTTTGGTTTTTGTCAACTCAGACCTCTTTGAATGGCATTTCCGTTCAAAATGAACCAACAGTTTGGGAGGCGCAGGGGTGAAAAACATATTTCAACACTAGATTTGGTAAGAATATGCTATTTCTAAATGAAAATGATTCAGCAAACGTTTGCCACAAGGAACGTATCTGTAAATAAAGACAGTTTTAAGTCTCAATGCATCTGCAAAACGTATCTAGGTCACATTAGCAGTGTGAAATCAAAGACATTAACTGCACAACTCACTTTTTTTTTACATCTTTAGGATGGTTAAGTGACTAACATAAAAAAATGACAGTTAACTTCCTCTTTCTGCCCCAGCCACAGTTTCCTCTACAAAAGTCACACACTTACTCGGTGCACTTAGTTGCTGACAAAGACATGAAACTCTGTGGCGAACCTACATTCTTAACATCCCGGTTTACATTATAACTACAGAAGTGTAAGCAATACTGTATAGCCATTACTGTGATAGCAAAAGAGATTAGCTAATGTGTTTCCTCAGAAGGGGTTAGACAGACAATAGAAGATGGGAAAGTGTGTGAATGTACAGTACAGTATGTGTGTGTGTGCTTGTTCCGGCATATGTGTGACACCTTGATTGCCAAAAACAAGTGAGTGAAACTCCCACCATGCCAACATCAAGATTAAGACAAGCACCCACATGTGCAAACAGCTTTACTTGCAAATAATGCAACATTTTCATTTACAAGGCACTAGATAAGTAGACTGTCATTTGAGAATCTCAGATATGAATGATTTGATGCTTGATTTTTAGGAAATAAATTCATATTAAAGGGATAGTTCACCTAAAAATGATAACATTCACATTTTAGGTGCTTTATTGGCATGACAAATAACTGTACATTCGTATTGCCAAAGCAGTGCAGCGTCGCTGCGTACAGACAAGACAGTGCAAAAAGGGCAGTAGTGCAAACAAATATGAACATAAAATATAATATAGAAATAAAGAAAAGAAATGTAAAAAAAAAATTAAAATAGATTAATAAAAATAACAATATATCAGTGAAACTAAAAATATTAATAAAAAAAAATAGATTAATGGTAATTTGTGAAACAGGATAAAGGTAATGACAGTGATAAAATTAGTAAGTCCACGAGTAAAGAGTTCCAGTTGTGTGTTGGAGACAGTGGAGCGGATCATTGTGGGTTCCTCAGACGGTGGCAGGAGTGCACAAACTGAGCTGCTAACACACAGCAGCACACAGCAGCACACACACTCCCCCAGAATCATAACTCTGTCATGATTCACTCCAATTGTTCTAAACCTATTTGAGTTTTTTTCTTAGCAGAAGTCTATTGATTCTATTTTTGTTGTTCCTACTATGGTTGTCAATGGCTGATGGTTTCCAACATTCTTTAGAATATTTGATTTTGTGTTCAACAGACATTTCTAAAAGTTTGGAAACACCTTAAGTGTAAGTAAATTGTAAAAATATGTGCATTTTTGGGTGACCTACCCCTTTAAGATATATATTTACCATTGCTTTTAAACCTAGGGCGCCGGCATCTTGGAATATCGCTGTGTCTGACATCATAGGGTTGGTGCCGTTCCCTTTGCTGAACAGATACAGTTGGAAGTAAAAGACTGAACACGATCACAGAAGTCATTTATGATTTTACTTGTTGCATTAGTCTGAATGTAAATCCCCTCTTCAGGCAGCGCTGGTGCAGCGCAAGAGAGTGGACCAAAGTGAATTAAATAGGGATTGAATAGAGATGCTCAAAATAACCGATTAACTGTTAACCAAAAGGGTGTTTGTAATCAATTATTGGTATCAGTTAAATGATTAATAAAATATTTTTAATATATATTTTTTAAATTTGACTGCATAAGGGGCCTATTCCAGCAAACCTGCATTTTTGCTATGAGAGGTGCATCTTTTGAATGGTTTACTAACGGCCGCGAGTTATTTATGCGCTGCTTATGCACCCTGCTTGACTCCTGTTTTGCCGTTGCGCGCAATGTGTGCTCGAGTGGAAAATGTAACCTCAGTCATGCCTTTTTATTCTTCAATCTGCAAGGTTTCTGTTGAGGTGACAGCAGGATTTGTGTTGTCAAGGCGACTACGGGAAACTTTTAATGATGGAGGAGAGAGTTGTGGTCGCTGTTTCAAGTTATCGAGAGCTGTATTACTTGACTAATCTTGAATATCATAATGTTTTTAAAAATGACAATTCTAACAACATTAGCCCCTTTCACACATACAGACCTTTCCGGAAAATTACCGGCAATTTTCCGGAAAGGTTGTATGTGTGAACAGGCCCTTTTTGAAAATACCGGTAAATTCGCTCTGGCTATTTTCCGGAAAGAGAAGTTGTAACATTACCGGCAATTTGCCGGGATGCTGCGCTGTGTGAATGCAGAAGGAAGATTGCTGTAATAAGCGCGTGCACGTCTAGAACCTGTTGACGTGAGACGTCTGCTTTAGCCAATCACAACAGTCAGATGCATTTACGCCCGTGCGGTTTATTAGTAATTAAAGCCTTTGAATATTTTTCCAGACACATTTAGCTGCTAGAAGTTAGTCAGATCACGTTTATATGTTCTTCTTAATGCCAACTGTGTAAATAATCATTGATGAGATGCTTATGATAAGCCGTTGTTTGTTTACCTTCAAGCTTTGCGTGTGCCTGTGAAACAGCCTGTGAGCGCCTGCACACGCACATAATATGAACATCTCGACATGCGAAAGTGATCCTGCGAAAGTTGTTCACAATATTGATCATCCACAGAGTTTGTAATTTAGTCAAATGTTTACAAATACAAGCGCAGCCGTTTAAAGCTCATTTGTGGTGAATGATGTCAGAATTTACCGGTATTTTGGAATGGATGTGTGAATGCTCTTTTCCGGAAAATTTCCGTAACGTCCTCGCCTGTGTGAACAGCACTTTTTTGAATTTACCGGTAAAGTCGTTCCGGAAATTTTCCGGATATTTACCGGTATCACTGTGTGAAAGGGGCTATTGACAGCAACACTCGCACATAATATGGGTCAGCTGATTCAGTCATTTCCTAGTGACATAAAAAAAAAAGAACATCTTTTTTTTCTTGTCAACATAAAAGGCAGTGTGGTGCGCCTCACGTTTTTGGAACGTAAAAGCATGTTCGCTGTGATCGACCTGAAAATGTACAACAGTTCAACACATATTTGTTAACTCCCGGGACAACAACACGTGCAACACAAAACAAAATGAAAGAAGGATATTTCTGGTCACAGTTTGACACAGATGAGTTGACAAGAGTTGACCTCTGTGCTGCATGGAGCCGCATCATAAACTTAATAAATTGATGCTATTGATGATTTAGTGTAGGCTACAACCAAGAAACCAACCTTTTTTCCATTTGGAAAATTACAGTTATAAATAGTTTATTATTATATATATATATATATATATATATATATATATATTAAAATAGCCTTCATAGCCTAATCTACAAATCAAATAAATCCAAAGATTTTCTTGATTTTTGCAAAATGATAACTCTACACCAAACTGAGGCTTTAATTTTATAGTTTATGAAACATGTATTCAAATTAATGCAATTTCATACGTGAACAACAAAATTGTTATATGCTATAGTAACCTATACTTTACAAAAAGTCAACACATGAGCGTTAAGGTTCATTGTCTTTGGGCCCTATCATACACCCGGTGCAATGTGGCGCAAAGGCGCGGCGCAATAGTCTTTTGCTAGTTTCAGCTTGACGCAAGAGTCGTTTTGAGGCGTGGTGCTATGCTGTTTAAATAGCAAATGCTAAATAGCATCAGCGCTCATATGTGCGCCCATAGGCGTTCTGGTCTAAAAAGGAAGGCGTTCTAAGGAGCACTGCTGGCGCGTTGCTATTTTGAGAAACCATAATAGATTTTTCATTAGACCAAAACAAACCCGGTCTAAACTCCGCAGAGTTGCGCCTCTCTTACACACTGCTTAATACGCACAAGAGAGCAATAGGCAAATATCTTTACATATGAAAAAAAATGTATATTAAGGATATATATATATATATATATATATATATATATATATATATATATATATATATATATATATATATATATAGGATATAATAAGAATAGATATAGGATATAAATATAAAGGATTAAAATATTACAAAACATATTATTTTCTAGGCTACATAATTTCTAGCCCTCAATATGAAAAACCACTGCTTTTATGTCTTCTTCATCTCGGGAGGCTTTTTCAGTTCATTCATAACAATTTGCTTTTGTATAATGTTATTATTATTAGCAGTATTATTTATTATATCCATATTTATATTTATTTTATTAAAAACAAGCTTAGATTTGCCCACCTGCAGGTTTTAGACCATATGGGGCACAGCATGTGTTTTAGGATATAACTCAGGTTTTTGAGCACACTTCGTTATTATTGTTCATTTATACGTTTGCTCGAAATTAGAACTGAATTCAGAAATAGTTCTGAAACGAATATTTGCACTTAACGAACGAAATTAATTATTTATAGACTGATTGATGTCTGTGCGTAAAGGTTTCCCTATTCAAGAGCGAAATTGAAAGTAGATCCATTATCTCTCATTCTCACGCAGTAGATGCTCTGTTTAACAGTTTTCTGTTAAAATAACTGTTAACTGTTTGCTTGTGAAATGCTCAGTTTCCACTTAGACTTACTTTACGTCCTGTAAATAGCAAATGCGCTTATGGCGCGACGCAGCTGGCTCTTAAAGGGAATGGGAGATGAGACTCTAATTGGTTTATTCTCAAAACACACCTATAACTCATTAAGAAAATAAACTCAACACTCTTAGACCATGCACCACGGCGCAAAGCGGATTTTCCTGTCCTTAAATTAGCAAAAATGTGTTCTGACACGCCCTGAAAGCATTTGCGCCCTGCGTTTTGCGCTCTGCGTATGGACTGTCAAAATAGAGCACTTTGTCTTTTATTACATGCACTGCGTACACATGAACCACAAGTGAAACAGAGGATACAAGTCAATCGTAATTAAGAAATAATCTTTAAACTAATGACAATACAATGTTGACAGTGGTGTGTGACATAAGAATAACAGCGGAGCATTAATTGAATGCATATTTACTGTAGAGCAATTGATTTGAGCGAAAAAAAAACTTGATTGGACAAACAGCCTATGCCGGTTCTTAAAAAAAAGATTCAGTCAGTGTTTTCGTTTTGTAACCTAAATTTGTCATTTAAGTGAAAAAATATCTAGGGCAGGGCTTTTTATTTTATTATTTTTGTTTAGTTTATTCTTTATTTCTGTGCTGTTGTAAACACTGCAGGTGCGTGAAGATGCTCTGGTATGTTCTGTATGCTGTCCGCATGTTAAAATAAATCAGTAGTTTAAAATGCAACATTTAATGTGTCACACAAAATAGGCACGTCAATTATTTTAATTTGACCAGTTAATAGTTAATGCGCAGCGGTTGGCAAAATTAATTAAAATGAGCATCCCTAGTATTAAAATAAGAAAAACACAACTTAAGCCACTTAAATGCTTGTATTTGTTGTATTTGCACCAGCTCTGCGATGCATGTCCTCAACTTCATGCATTGGGTTAAATTAAGCTATCCAGTCGCCGTTCAATCCATTACTACCATGGTTGAAACCCATACAGGGTTTGCAGAATGCAGAAAGTGAATCAAAGTGCATCAAATAGTCGGTAATTAAAAGGGAAAAAAGAAAAATAGAATAAATATATTTTAGACACACATCTGATGCTTGTATTTGCACTATCTCCATGTCTACAACTTCACGCATTGTTTTCAGTGCTTTACTTCCACTGTATCTGTTCAGCCGAGGGAACGAAACCAACCTGTGATGTCAGACTAGTCATGGGCCAGTATACGTTTCTGACGGGATGATAACCTTGGATAAGAATATCCGGGTTTCATGGTATCACAGTATTGTAATTACTGCTCTACAATAAGTTTTTTTTAAATGCCTGGGTAAAAAAAAAAACTATGAAACTCAGCGTCTGGTAATGTCTATGCGTTCCAGAAATTTGATTTATATTTATTATTCTGACCAATTATTTTTGGTCCCTTAACAAGTGGGAGGCTCATATGCAAACTGTTGTAATTCCTATACCATTCACCTGATTTGGATGTAAATAACCACAAATTAAAGCTGACAGTCTGCAGTTAAAGCACATCTTGTTCGTTTCAGTTAAAAACCCTTGTGTTGATGTATAGAGCCAAAAAATATTAGAATTGTGTCGATGTCCAAATATTTATGGACCTAAATGTACCTTAGCAAGGGTATAACAGAATATTTTAGCTGGTTTAAAATCTTGACTTTTTCACACTACGGTAAACCTTGAAAGCGGTTATCGTCTCATGCCTACGTCAGACAGAGCAATATTCCAAAATGGCGGCAGCCTAGGTCTAAAAGCTGTAGTAAAACATGCTGTTTTCTGCTAAACAGATACATTAATCAAGTTTGTTTAATATATTTTCATTAAAGTGGAATCCAGTGTAAAAAATAATGTAAACTTAACTGAGCGCTTTGTTTCCCCTTTATACAGAAAATACTACTTTACAAACTGTATTGCAAATAAAGCATGTGAACAATTTCATATTAGTCAATAATACTACTGACGTTAATTTAAAAACAGAATAAATATAAATTTATGGACATTTACACAAGGAAAAAAAAAATTTTCTCAATGATGACCTAAAATTTCTGCTCGCGCAGATTTCATATGGACCTAATTATAACCATAAAATGTATACCTACCTATAGTTTGACGTAACTCCTCGCAAAGGCTTATATGGGGGAACTGAAGCATCTGTTTCCATTTCTTGCTCTTGCCTTTTCTGTTCCCACCCCCTCCTGCAAAGGAATCGAGCAGAGATCAAATTAGAGGCAGGAACTGCATACAGGCTCTAAAATGCTATTAGATTACCATCTTAACACAGGTGGGCTTTGGAAGACAGAATAGGATATGAATACATTTATATCATCTTATAATGTGAATAATATATAGGCCACATATGGGGTGATTCTTCAATTAGGGCACTTTTGAAAGCTTGAAAAGTCTTCTGCAAACTGCTTAATTGACGTTTAAACATTTATCAGAGTTGTCAAATGGCTTCTGGTACAACGTGTGATGGTATGAATGAGTAATAATGTGTGATAGTAGTGCTATTTTGGCTTTTAAGAGAATCTGTGGGCAAGCTAACACTAGCCTATTAGCTAAGCACTATAAAAAATTACTTATTTCTAATATTACAACTCTGAAATACAGATTATTCTGGTCAAGACTCTCTATAATAAAATTCAATGATATATGCTAAGTTACGCTAAGCTAAATGTGCTCTAACCAGACCGGGAGATCGGCTAAATGAATTACAAAAACTGGTAAACCATACGAAACCAAAGCTTACAGTAGTGCATTCTCTGGAATCCTCTGAAGCGGTGGATTTTTACATTGCAATTGGTTGCTGCTGATCTGCATCATAACTTATTACCAGAAAGTTGACTTAATTTCAATTTGAGAAATAAATTTGCAAACTGCTTTGTCAATGTTAAAATATTTATAAACATGTTGTCAAATGGCTTCTGGTACAATGTGTGGTGGTATGAATGAGTAATAATGTGTGATAGTGGTGCTATTTTGGCTTTTAAGAGAAGCTAATTACTAATAAGAAATTACTTCTTTCTAAAAATTACAACTCTGAAATACAGACTATTCTGGTTATGACTCTCAATAAACCTATTCATTAATCTTGAAGTAAAAATTCTAAACTCTTCTCACCCTAAAACTGTCATTGCGCTATGCTAAAGATGTAGAGTAACATGAATTGTCTTAGCCTCAGACCATTCTAAGGTATAGACTTTTGTTCATGATTCTTTGGTGATTCATATAATGCAAGTCAATGGGAATTGGCACTTAAAGAGTCAAAAAAAAAACATACAGGCAAAACAAAATGAATACACATGGCTTTTGAGGACACACTGAGATCTTATGAAGGAAGCAGTCCAATTTTTATTGCCCTTTACTTGCTAACTTCCCTCAGCCTTGTTCTCTCGGATATGCGTCATTGACTACTTCACACAAGTGTCTACTACTGATGGAGCATCTGAATGGGTTTAAATGGAATGCCCTAAATTCTTGAGCACTACATTTTTGCAATGTCACAATCACATTGAATTTTGGGACATTTAGGTATGGAGTGGACAAATGAAGCAAACCAAGCCCCCTTTGTAAGCTTACCTCGTTCGCATGATGATATGCACTTTAAAATAACGGCAGGATTTTTTTAACTGCGATATTTTGTGTTGTTGCGATATATATTGTGATATCAATACAATTTCACCAGAGACCTTGACTAGCTCTACTTGGAAAGAATTTATTAAATTAGACTGATTGGGATGAGGCGGCATGGTGGCTTAACGGTTAGCACTGTAACCTCACAGCGAGAAGGTCGCTGGTTCGAGCCTCAGCTGGGTCAATTGGCATTTCTGCATGGAGTTTGCATGTTCTCCGCGTGTTCTGGTACTGTCCACCGGAGGTCGCATTTCGGTCATGGACGCATCAATTGAGAGCCTTCCTGAATAAATGAATGAAATACGTTGTTTTCCATAAAGGCAATCTAGGGTTAGGGCTGCTCGATTAATTGGAAACACGCAATCTTAATTAAGCTTTTCTACGATTCAGCCATTATATTTTCAATGTCAAGAGAGAAGCGTAAAGGCGGACGCACAAGTCTATACAGCAACATGGAAAGCAACGATGTTAACAACATGGACACCTCCAAATGGCGCTAAAAGTTTTACATACTGTATTTATAATAGCGGTGGGCCGTTAACGTGCTGCATTAAAGAGAGACTCTTATCGCGAGATTAAAAAATATATATATATGTATATATATATCTATTCTCAAATTTTAATTGGGAGCTAGGTCTATTCTACGCAAGCTACGATGACTTTCACTTTGATATTTTAGCATGGATGTATACAAGGGCGGTGAGCCGTCTGACAAAAAAGTGCCCTTCTGAATAAAATCAGCAGGATGCCCTTCTGGATCTTTCATTTACTTCGAAGACACTACTGACTACGCTTACATGGACATCTGTAGTCTAGTTATTTGCCTTAATAGAAAATAATATAATTAAGGTGTTTACATGAAGTAATTTTATGTAATATTCCTGTAATTCGGGGTGACTGTAACTGCAGTTCGGCAGTTTCATTTTAACTCATGAACATTTCATTCATGCCCCCGTGACAAACTGGGGTATTAAACGCAAATAAGGAGTAAAGACGGGTGAGAGTGTTATGGAATTTAATAACGCACGCCGAATGGAAAGAAAAAATCTTCCACATTTCGCGGTGTGTGTGTGTGTGTGTGTGTGTGCAGTCCTTTACTGACAGCCACGTGTGTGGTTCTTGTTGGAATATATGGTGAAAAGTCCTACATGACGGTAATAGTTTGATTGCGGCGTTTACTTCAATAATTTCACTAATATATGCATACTCCATGTCTTAATTCCATTTCCTTTTAGTTCAGTTATGACTTTAGTCGGATTAAGGTCATCAAAAAATAAATAAATAAATAAATAAATAAATAAATAAATAAAACAATTCGCTGTTTGGAGCTTATGTAGGCCTACAGTTCAAAATTCATGTTTAACTGAATAAACAGTAAACACAAGTAAATCTTATTGAACATTATTTATTTTCATCACCAATTATCATAGTAGAACAGTTTCTCAAGCAGTTTGTGATGCATTTTATAAACCGGAGATGAGCCCCTGGTCTAATGCGCCACCTGGCTTGAGAAACCCGTTCTCGAAGACTTATATTAAGTCATTATTCGGGTAGCGCACATATTCTAAATGCATTAGGCGAAATTCAAATGAGCCACATTAATCTAGATTTTAAAAATTAACCTATGCCCACCTACAATTTACAAGTATATAAATACTGTGTCACATACTGTATTTATAAATGTTATGCTTTATAGGAGTCAAAAATTTACATCACAATCACTTTTAAACCACAACATAGGAAACAGTTCTAAGTGTGTTCATGACAATCTGAAACCGTGAGTATCCTGTCCTGCTGTGTAATGACGTATATCAAACACTGGGAATCTGTGAAGTCAATCTTCCCAACTGAGATCACGCACACAACCTTAATCCTACTCTTTTATATAGGTTGCTGAATCCATTTCGACGAACAATACAACACACATCCTTCTTTTCTATATCAAGCATACAGTGCTAAACACAGACTAGCATGAATGTGCTCAGGATTGTTTGCCAAGGATGTGAATTAAAGGCATTAAATGTAAAAAATGTTTGCTTTCCTTTACACAGTCATGGGTGTTCAATGTATTTTGCCTTTGTTGTTGTTGTTTTGCCTATGAAAGTATTGGTGACTATTGACTTACATTAAATAATCACCATGAACTACAATTTCTCCTAAAACGTTTTTAATGTTTTACTGACATTAAAAAAATTCTCCTACATCCACTGGTGGAAAGTCACAGGGGTCTTAAAGAAGACAGGAACCCCATATCTGAGGGTACCCTCCTTTAAATATGATTAAAAACCATGCTGCGTGTGTACTGTAAATAACAATGCTTTATACTTTCAATAATTTTGTAATAGAGTGGAGGAACCTTGACGTCTCCTTGTAGGCTAATCGGCTGCTAGCATAAAACTGGTTCCCTCGATAAAATCCCGATTTTCCAACAGGCTTTTCGAAGATTGCAAATAATAAGCTCTGTGTTAAAACACTGTTCATTACACTTACAAGTTTTGTCTAGCTGGATAATCCTCACACGAAAATACAACTTTGAGCACTTTGGATCATAAATGCAAACGCTAGAACTGAAAAGCTAACATTAGGCTATAAACAGACTACAGTGCCTTCGGGGTGCTTGCCTGTGACGTCAGCTCCACCCTGCTACAGACAACTCTTAAAGCTTATTTTTGGAAATATGCTCCATGACAAATATTGAATCTCTCTGTTTATTATGTTATAATGCACACTATATATTATAAACAAATAAATACGCAAAAACACATAGACCTACAGTACGTGACTTTTGGATAGTTTTTTATGTGGGAAATACATTTTGTTTTGCTTTACGGTTGTTGTAAAAGTTTTAAAACTGTATGTAAAAATGTGCCTACATAATATTATTATAAGACTAAATAAGTGTATCACTCACGTGCATACAGCCCGCTTACCATAGTAACAGACGACAGAAATGAGGCTTAAGGCATGAAGTCTATATGCCTGCAAGTTCCATCATGGACACAACAACATTCAACATTCAAAAAAAAAAAAAAAAAACAGCCCATACAGTCACATATCCTATACATTTCAAGAAGGAGTGTAAATACTGCAGTCATGACAGAGTTAAATGTGTTCAGATTTTTATTTTTTTTTACTTTTTTTTTTATTTAATGCTATGTCAGCAACCAAGGCTATTTTCATGGCAGGAATCTTTCAACAATAAATATACAATTTAAAAATCAACAAACAAAATAAAACATAAATTAATTAAGATTTTTTTGTGTTAATACATGATAAAAACTCTAAAATCTTTTCAGGTTTTACTTTGTTAAAAATGTCCTTCAAAGAGTTCATTTGATAAAAAAGGCTTCTGGAATCAGTAAAAGCAGGACAGTCCAGTAAAATGTGTTTTATAGTAATAGGAGTTTTGCAGCACAAACACTGAGTAGGGTTTTAAATGTGTTCAGATAAAGAAAAAACAGATCATGTTGAAATGATAGTTAACATGTATGTATTACTTACACATGTATTCACAAATTTCCATTACTGAGGGCAGGTAATTAAAATAAACGATTAACAAATG